TTTAGTTTCTATCCTGAATTATTTTTTTTTAATTATTTGCTTTTTTACTTATACACACATTCTGTTGAAATGCAATGTTATTTAAAGAGAGTTTTCAGTTTATTTAGGGAAAAGTGGCAAATCCCTCACCGCCAAACACTCACATACACATCCACTTAACATTCCCACTCTCCCCCCTGTATTTGCAGAGGAGCATGCAATTTTCTCCCAGTTGCAGTTCTCGGGCCTATTTGACCAATTGCTTGGCCCAAACATTGTCATGCAAGTAAAGTTGCCTCCTGGCTTGTATTTTACCAGCCTAGCCAGTATTATTTGCTTTATTGCTTGTGTTATTAACAGCAAAGAGGTCCCAGAAAAAGTAGCAAACTTACATGTGATGGAAGGGAGTAGGTCACTAACCTGTGTAAACACTGATAAGGAGCTTACAGAAAGTTTAGGCTTTGTGCCCCTTCAAGTGAATGAAGTAGCTGAAAAAGTATGCATCAGTGAAAGAGTGGCCTTTCAAGAGAATCTGTCACTTTTGTACCTTTGTAACTGCCCCTGGGAACTGTCCCAGGATTTTAACACAATCCAGGTGTCCTGCAGATCTAGGCTGTGTCCCAGAGTTGGTCACCATAACTCTTGTTCAAGCACGGCAGACGAGAAGAGAGAACAACAGTGGTGGAAACAGAATACATAAAAAGGTGCTTTCTACTTAAACCAATGTTTACCCCTACCTCCGCTGAGCACTACTGTTCTATCCACTGCTTCTAAGCCATTTTGTCCTCCACCATCCCCCCACTGTGAACTATTGTTCCTCCCCAACCCCCCAATGGGCATTTATTTTTTCCTTCCACCCTCCTATGAACACTATTGTTCTCCTCCTCCCCCTGCTGGGCACTATTGCTCCTGAACACCCCCCCAGGCAATATTGCTGCCCCCTTACCCCCAGTGAGCACTATTGTTCTCCCCCACCTCCTGCTACTCAACATTGATCTTCACTGACTTCAGGGAAATCACCCCAAAACTGACAATGGGAATTTTTTTTCTCCCACTGATTAGGAATGTAGGGGGCCCTGTCAGGAAAGCGCCGGCCATAGTACAAATGAAGGCTACAGGCACTTACAGATGTACAGGCCCAGGCTTGCGGGTGCTCATTTAGATGTGGCACCAAATGGACTATTTAAATCCAGCAGTTGTACTAATTAGTGCTGTCCAATCTACAGCTCTGTGTCCCTGCATCTGCTCCTGTATCTGACTCCTGTGATTGCTTATCCTCACCATGCTTCAACGCTACCTCTCCTGAACTTGCCTTGTCTCTGAATTCTGCTCTGCCTCCTGTTCATTTGCTTGCTCCAGTGCTGTTGACTTTTGCCTGTATCCTGACCATTCTCTTGCATGCTGTCCATGCTTGTATCTGACCGTCTGTTGCTGACCTGGCTTACTTGACCATGCATCCTGTTATCTGTCTGCCTAGCTTTGCATGATACTTACCTGGTCCTTGCTGGGCCTTTACCTGCCATGTGCTGCCAGCCTCCTCTGCACCGGTGACCAGCCATCTGCCTGCCGAGCAAATGACAGCTTGCTGTCGGCCAAATTCAGGGTCTACTGCTTCTGCTGCCACTGTACTGGCCATCTGACCCATCCCTGGAGAAGCATCTGCTTCTCATTTGTACGGTCAGTTGGACACTCTACAGCAGCGGTTCTCAACCTGGGGGTCGCGACCCCTTTGGGGGTCGAACGACACTTTCCCAGGGGTCGCCTAAGACCATCGGAAAACACATATTTCCGATGGTCTTAGGAACCGAGACACCGCTGCAGTCTCCGGCGATGTGTGGGCGGGATGATACGCTGCTGTCACCTGGCCACACCTCCGGGATCGCTCAGCAGCTCCGCCTCCTCGCCGCTGATTGGCCACCGGAACTGTAGCTCAGGAGAGACACACAGGCGGCCAATCACCGGCGAGGAGGTGGAGCTTGGAGAGGAGGAGCCGAGCGGCAGCGCGCGTACATCAAAGAAGACCGAGGGAGCTGCCGGAGCGAGTGAAGAGGAGAGCGGCCAGAGAAGGAAGACAGCTGACAGGTAAGTGAGAGAGCGAGCCCAGGCTGGAGCAGGGGTCAGCAAAGTAAGTATCATTGGTGTCAGTGGGAGGAATAGTGCCCCATCATTTGTGTCACTAATACCAACGATGGGGCACTATTCCTCCCCCCACTGACACCAACGATGGGGCACTATTCCTCCCCCCACTGACACCAACGATGGGGCACTATTCCTCCCCCCACTGACACCAACGATGGGGCACTATTCCTCCCCCCACTGACACCAACAATGGGGCACTATTCCTCCCCCCACTGACACCAACGATGGGGCACTATTCCTCCCCCCACTGACACCAACGATGGGGCACTATTCCTCCCCCCACTGACACCAACGATGGGGCACTATTCCTCCCCCCACTGACACCAACGATGTGGCACTATTCCTCCCCCCACTGACACCAACGATGGGGCACTCTTCCTCCCCCCACTGACACCAACGATGGGGCACTATTCCTCCCCCCACTGACACCAACGATGGGGCACTATTCCTCCCCCCACTGACACCAACGATGGGGCACTATTCCTCCCCCCACTGACACCAACGATGGGGCACTATTCCTCCCCCCACTGACACCAACGATGGGGCACTATTCCTCCCCCCACTGACACCAACGATGGGGCACTATTCCTCCCCCCCCACTGACACCAACGATGGGGCACTATTTCCCCCCCCCCGACCCCAATGATGGGGCACTATTCTCCCCTCCACCACACTGACATCAATGATGGGGCACTATTCCTCCCACTGACACCAATGATGGGGCACTATTCCTCCCACTGACACCAATGATGTGGCACTATTTCCTCCCACTGACACCAGTGATGGGGCACTACTCCCACTGACACCAGTGATGGGGCACTACTCCCCCCACTGACACCAGTGATGGGGCACTATTCCTCCCACTGACACCAATGATGGGGCACTACTACCCCCCCACTGACACCAATGATGGGGCACTACTCCCCCCCACTGACACCAATGATGGGGCACTATTCCTCCCACTGACACCAATGATGTGGCACTATTCCTCCCACTGACACCAGTGATGGAGCACTACTCCTCCCACTGACACCAGTGATGGGGCACTACTCCCCCCACTGACACCAGTGATGGAGCACTACTCCCCCCACTGACACCAATGATGGGGCACTACTCCCCCCACTGACACCAATGATGGGGCACTACTCCTCCCACTGACACCAATGATGGGGCACTACTCCTCCCACTGACACCAATGATGGGGCACTACTCCTCCCACTGACACCAATGATGTGGCACTACTCCTCCCACTGACACCAGTGATGGAGCACTACTCCTCCTACTGACACCAGTGATGGGGCACTACTCCTCCCACTGACACCAGTGATGGGGCACTACTACTCCCCCCACTGACACCAGTGATGGAGCACTACTCCCCCCACTGACACCAATGATGGGGCACTACTCCCCCCACTGACACCAATGATGGGGCACTACTCCTCCCACTGACACCAATGATGGGGCACTATTCCTCCCACTGACACCAATGATGGAGCACTATTCCTCCCACTGACTCCAACGATGGGGCACTATTCCTCCCACTGACACCAACGATGGGGCACTATTCCTCCCACTGATACCAACGATGGGGCACTATTCCTCCCACTGATACCAACGATGGGGCACTATTCCTCCCACTGACACCAACGATGGGGCACTATTCCTCCCACTGATACCAACGATGGGGCACTATTCCTCCCACTGACACCAACGATGGGGCACTATTCCTCCCACTGACACCAACGATGGGGCACTATTCCTCCCACTGACACCAACGATGGGGCACTATTCCTCCCACTGACACCAACGATGGGGCACTATTCCTCCCACTGACACCAACGATGGGGCACTATTCCTCCCACTGACACCAGTGATGGGGCACTATTCCTCCCACTGACACCAGTGATGGGGCACTATTCCTCCCACTGACACCAGTGATGGGCACTATTCCTCCCACTGACACCAGTGATGGGGCACTATTCCTCCCACTGACACCAGTGATGGGGCACTATTCATCCCACTGACATCAGTGATGGGGCACTATTCCTCCCACTGATACCAACGATGGGGCACTATGCATCCCACTGACATCAGTGATGGGGCACTATTCCTCCCACTGACACCAGTGATGGGGCACTATTCATCCCACTGACATCAGTGATGGGGCACTATTCCTCCCACTGATACCAACGATGGGGCACTATTCCTCCCACTGATACCAACGATGGGGCACTATTCATCCCACTGACATCAGTGATGGGGCACTACTCCTTCCACTGATACCAATGACATGGCACTACTCCTCCCACTGCAAAATTACAGTTATGAAGTAGCAATGAAAATAATTTTATGGTTGGGGGTCACCACAACATGAGGAACTGTATTAAGGGGTCGCGGCATTAGAAAGGTTGAGAACCACTGCTCTACAGGCACTTGTACCTTGCCATGCTTCCACGGCTGTTTCACTACCAGTGGTCCTTGAGTCAGGGCCATAAGAGAGGCCTCCCTCTACATGTCAGGCTCTGCTATAACATACATGACAGGCCCTATTACACTCTTTAATGCTGTACTCCTACACTTTTCTGTGCATTGCATTGTTTTGTCTGCTACTCTCTGTGCTTTGTTTACATACAATTGATGCCTGCACTCTGTTCACTATGTTGTGTATTTCATAGTCCTGACCAAAGTGTTGCTCCTTGATGAGTAGTTGCAACTTTTTTATTGAAGTTCTTCTTTAACCGCTTAAGGACCACCCTATAGCAGATATACTGCTACAGGGCGGCACCTGTGTGCAGAATCATGCATATATACGTAATTTTGCATTTCCGGTTATGTAATTACCCGCCGGTGCCCAGTGATTACCGAGCATCTCCGATGAGGAGGAAGATTGTTTTGTTTACAAACAATCTTCCTCCCTGTCAGTTCGAGCACACTGCTCGGGATAGCTGTGCACAGTCAGAGATGGACTGACAACTCATGGGGCCCCCGGGCAATAGGGGATCATGGGGCCCCTGTCCTTGCCCAAACTCAAAAAAGCCTATGAAAAAGGTACCATGGGCATCTCATGGGGCCCCATACTGACCCCGGGCCCTCAGGCACTGCCCGAGTTTCCAAATGGTCAGTCCGGCCCTGTGCACAGTACAGCCATCCAAATCAGTGTGCTTACAATGAAGAACACACCCCTCGCCCCCTAGTAAAACACTCCCAGCACACAGTTAACCCTTTGATCGCCCCACATGTTAACCCCTTCATGCCCAGTGCCATTAGTACAGTGTCAGTGCTTTTTGTTAAGCACTGATCACTGTATTGGTGGCACCTATAGGCACCCATGGTGGAGCCACTATCAGCGGTGCCTCCTCTCCACTGCACTGGCCACTGACTGACACAGAGGAGCCAATCACAAAACTGTACTGGAACGGGCTGAAAAAAAGTAAGTATATAGATCTTTTTTACACAGGTTAGTTAGCATAGGTGTTAGGAGGGAGGACGGGACATTTTTAAGACTAATAAGACTTTAGCTGGAATTCCACTTTAAGCCATACTCAATATTCAGCACACTCTAGCCATGCCTGCTTTTCCCCGCAGCACATTCTGTGCCATGTGTCTTCTCCATCCCAAGATGTCCCGCTTTCACAAGTTCAAAAGTTGGGAAGTGTGCACTTTGAATGGGCAAAAGGAGAGATTCTCTATAAGGTGTCCACATGCATTAGATACCATAAGTAGTAATGAATGATTTCAGCATGTTTATTTAACCATGTGTGGCACATTAACAGTCAGGTCAGATCCTATAAACTGAACATTATATGCCAAAAAAATGTTTGGTCAAGTAGGACATTTTTGAACATTCAGTTATTAGTTTATTTTAAAAATGTTATGTGACATAGGGCTGTATATCTGTGAATATTGTATGTGTGTATATGTATAGACCAGAGGAAGCAATACTGTATTCTATGTTTTTGGAGGCATTGACTGCATCCATAAGATCTTATTGATCAGTCCTCTATTATATGACAGATCTTTCTGAAGAGTAAGAAATCTCTGTCAGGTTTTAGTTGCTGTCTGTGTCAATGGTACAAAAAGTGATGGCTGATCCAAAACATTAGTATTGTCATAGGAACAGGATGTAAAAGGAAATCTTTCAGTACATAAACCTGTTCTGGTGACAACTGGTCGAGAGGGGATATTTCCTCACTTTGGAGAGATTTCTTGTTACCTCCTCAGCATGTCTGGGGCATGAAGTAGATGGAAAAATCTCCTTTACAAGAAAAAGACAGATAAAAAAAAAAACTTCCTAAAGTGGTATTAAATCCAAAAAGAAAAATTCATTATATATAGCTTACCAGTTCTTAGAAGTGATGGCTGCACCCGTTTTCTTATTTTTAGGCTTTTTTTCCCTTATTTTAACCTGGTGATCTGGTCAGTAAGTCTGTTGTTTTTCAAAAGAACAAGCTGTCTTGCAGATGTAACAGCTTACAAATTATTGGAAGTGGCTGCATTAGTATTCTTTTTTTAGGCTTTTCCCCCTTATTTTCACCTGGTGATCTGGCCAGTAAGTATACTGTTTTTCAAAAGAACAAGCTGTCTTGCAGATGTAACAGGGTAGAGACAAACCATTTAACATAGACATGGGTGCTTACAATGATCAGCTTTTACTTATTTATGTAAAACCTTTATCCCAAAAGAAAAAAACAAACAAAAACTGTTGCTGTTACTAATTATAAAGAGTGAGCTGATGGTTGACTTTGATTTGTTAGTGTATCTAAATCTGCTAACCACCTAACACTCCCCTCCCTCCCAGACTGACAATGCTGCTCTGCACAGGGGCTCCTGTGCTCATTCATCCAGAGTGGGGGCACTATAATACAGGAGTGTGCTTCTGGCCAGATATAAAGAGGAAAACAGAGAGAAAGAATCATTAAAAATAAAATTAATTTAGCAGCCACATCTAATGATTGGTAATCTGCAATACATTACATTTTGGTTTGGGGTTTAATATTGCTTTAACTATTCCCTACTCTATCCCAACATAAAGTATTACATACATTTTAAGGCTAAACAAGTTTAGAATTAGAAGCAACACAAATAGATCACACTTTTTCTGTAACTATACAAACAAACATTCTACACCTATAAAACAATTCCAATGCATCTTAAACATTACTGTAAAACTTTTGCAACACAACTTTTGTTGTCTTATCACCTTTTAAACAACTGACATTTCCTAATAATGATCAATTAGTTTATCATTATTTTGCCATTGATGATTACACTCATAATTAATAATCATTGCAATCATTATTCTGTAATTAGTATTCATAGGAACTCTAAACTTATGTAGAATAATGTATCAGTTAATAAATACTGTTGATTATTAATGTTTATTGACATATCCATTTGAAAATAGTATTGATTCATTTATATACATTTTTTTATATTTATTCACACCATTTTCTTATCTATATACTGACCTATTGGTCCATTAGTTATAACATACATTAAAGCAACAATTCATGAAAATTAAATCTTATATCATTTAATTTTATTGGAGTACATGCTCATTTTGTGAGTGAAATTCATCAGTTAAAAAGATGTTCAGGCAAAAGTGAAACAGTTTAGAATTCTTACATATCTATGCCAGTTCTGAATATCATGACAAAACTCTAGCATTTGGACACCTATTATATTAGTTAAACAAAGACTTTAGCAGTACAGAAAATTACCAAAAAAGGAATTGTGCATGTTTACTGCATACCTGGAAATAGGGCTTTCCTCTATAAACCCCTCCAATAACTATATCGGATGATGCCATGGCTCCATTTGGTGAAAATCCAAATCCAACATAGCCCAAAGTTTCCACTTGAAGCAGGAAGGTAATGGTGCCGTCCTTGTGGGTCCAACTTATTTTATATTTACCCTGGGCATCCAGAACAGCACTATGACTATATGCCAGCAGATCCATGTTCACTGATGTAACAAATAGCAGCAGCAGTAGAATTGAGTATATATGCATCTTCATGTAAGGTTTCCTCTCTGTTAGGCAGGATAAGAGGTTTGTAATATTTTACCATTCAACTCCTTCCCATTCACTATATTACTTAATGCTCTCTGCCTTAGCTTAGTAATGTGTCCGCTGAAGATTTCAGGAACAGAGTGCTGTGAGCTTGTACTGTTTGTCCCTATCAGAAAGAAATAAACATAGTTAAAGCTCTAGCCCTTCAATTATGTTCCCTACTAGCCTGGGGCAATGCTGTCTTGATGTATAGTGCTATTGGCATGCTGTTACAAGTGGGTACTCGTCTTTGTGTGAGAGAGAAGTTCCCTTTTGTATTACTGCTCTGTGCCAAAAATAAAGAAACCTTTAGAGCTGCAGAAGCATAAGCTTTTGGTATATCTATAGGACATTTTACCCCCTCTCGTGGTGAGATGAAAACCTGCATATGAATTTTCGAAAATCACACGCTTTGAAGCTTTGACACTACTAGCAGGACAAAAAAATAAATATATATATATATATATATATATATATATATATAAAAATATATATTGCTCAACATATATATATATATATATATATATATCGCTTAAGAAAATTAAAAGAGCACTCTGAAAACACATCAGATCTCAATGGGGAAAAATATCATGCTGGATATCTATACTGATATGGACTGGGTAATGTGTTAGGAAAGTAAGGATGCCCCATCGTTTGATGGAAATGAAAATTCTTAACCTACAGAGGATTTAATTCAAAGACACCCCAAAAATCAAAGTTAAAAAATGATGCAGCAGGCTAGTCCATTTTGCTGAAATTTCATTGCAGCAACCCAAAACAAAATGGTACTCAGTAGTTTGTATGGCCTCTGTGTGCTTGGATACATGCCTGGCAATGTCAGGGTATGCTCCTAATGAGACGACGGTTGGTGTGAAATTTCCTCCCAGATCTAGACCAGGGCATCACTGAGCTCCTGGACAGTTTGAGGTGCAACCTGGTGGAATTGGATGAACTGAAACATGATATCCCGGAGGTGTTCTATTGGATTTTGGTCAGGTGAGTGTGGCAGTAATTCAATGGTATCAATTCCTTCATCCTCCAGGAACTGCCTGCATACTCTCAACACATGAGGCCAGGCATTGTCGAGCACCAGGAAGGACCCAAGACCCACTGCACCAGCATAGGGTCTGACAATGGGTCCAAGGATTTCATCCCCATACCTAATGCAGTCAGGGTGCCATTGTCTAGCCTGTAGAGAACTGTGCGTCCCTCCATGGATATGTCTCCCCAGACCATCACTGACCCACCACCAAAATGGTCATGCTGAACCATGTTACAGGCAGCATAATGTTGTCCACGGCTTCTCCAGACCCTTTCATGTCTGTCACATGTGCCAGACTGAACCTGCTCTCATCTGTGAAAAGCACAGGACGCCAGTGGCGGACCTGCCAATTCTGGTGTTCAATAGCAAATACCAGGCAGTGAGCACAAGGGCCATTAGAGGACATCGGGCCCTCAGGCCATCCTCATGAAGTCTGTTTCTGATTGTTTTTTCAGAGACATTCACACCAGTGACCTGCTGGAGGTCATTTTGTAGGGCTCTGGCAGTACTTCTCCTTTTTCCTCCTTGCACAAAGGAGCAGATACCGGTCCTGCTGATGAGTTAAGGACCTGTCTCAAATGCCCCTAAAGTAACTGTCTGTTTCCTGGAATCTCCTCTATGCTCTTGAGACTGTGCTGGGAGATAAAGCAAACCTTCTGGCAATGGCAAGCATTGATGTGCTGCCTGTGTAACCTCTGTAGGGTGCAGGTATCACCTCATGCTACCAGTAGTGACAGTGACCCTAGACAAATGCAAAACTAGTGAAAACCAGTCAGAAAAGATGAGTAGGGAAAAAATGTCAGTGGCCTCCACCTGTAAAACCATTTCTGTTTTGGGAGTTGTCTCATTGTTGCCCATCTAGTGCACTTGTTGTTAATTTCATTAACACCAAAACAGCTGAAACTGATTAACAACCCCCTCTGCTACTTAACTGACCAGATCAATATTCCAGTAGTTTAATTTACTTTATACTATACTCTGATTAAAAAGTGTTCCTTTATTTTTTAATATACAGTATATATAGTGCTCAGCATAAATGAGTACACCCCTTTTGAAAAGTAAGATTTTAATCAATATCTAAATGAACACAAGAAAAAATAAAACAT